TCTTTGATAGTTTCTTCCAGTTAAATTGTAGCAGGGGCTGTCGTTTTCCCTGTCCCCCATCTGAAAGCGGGGTGGCTTTTCTCACTTGATTTGTGATCTCATTTCATTGTGGAATACTTAAGCCAGGCTTTGCCTATCACTTTTTATGAAGGGGAAGGGCAGTTCACACTCAACTCCCCTCCCAGAGTTGCTGAGGAGACTGAATAAATTAACCCACGTCAGGTCCTTCGAGCAGTGCCTGTCACCTGGTAAGTTCTCAGTAAACCTCCACTGAGAGTGTGTTTTGATGCCGACACTAACTGGTGAATGAGTTCAGCTCAGATCAAGAATCCCCCCATTTTTTTCTGTCATGACCGAAACAGTGGGAAACCTGTGCATATTTGTCTCAACGTGAAGTTGTGTAGGGTCCTTCTCCTTCAGGATTATTTTAGAACCATTGGTTAATTATTTAGAAAAGTGGAAAGTTACAGCTACACTTCACAGGCTTGACGTCATGATTAATCTGAGTGATTCCAGATGGGATTTAAAAAAAAAAAAACAATGAAGTATAAAGCCGTGAATCCCATTTCTTAAAATTCAGAAGAATGTAGGAGAATATTTATCAGACGTAAGAAGAGCAGAGAGTCCTTAAAACGGGGAGAAATCAAAAGCAAAGTTACAGATTCCAGCACACAAACGATTTAGGATTTCTTTAAAATCAATTCAACATTAGGGTGAACCCCTCTGGGCAGAGGGTTCATTGGCTTGCTGACATTTACATGTATGTATGATGATGAAGGACTGACTCGGGACTTGATCAGTGGGCACTCACCATTAATGACAGAGAAATGAGAGCCGTAAAGAGCAACGATATGAAAATGTTCCATCTCACCGCCACCTTAAATGACAGTGATGGCCAGCTTTACACTCACTGAAGGACTGGAAGAAGTGATGGGAAGCTGTGGTGGGAGACTGTTAAATAAGCAGTTGCCAACAGGCCTTGTTATTAGCCGGTCGGAGGAGTCCCGGGCAAGAAGAGCCTCGCTTCCAGCAACACAGCCTCATGAAATCATTGGCGACGCATCCAGCTGGACCAGGGATATGGAGTAGCTGTTTCAGAGAACAAGCAGCTTTCTTTACAGTCGCCCCTCATAGTTAATGTCTTTAAGCAGACTGTAGAGTGAGATGATACATTGGCAGGTTACTGTGAACTGTCACTCCTGCAAAGTCTTAGATAAGCCTTGTCTCGCAGCTGCTCCTTCCTCTGATGTCACTTTCCTATTGTAATAAAACCCGTTGTTCCTTTCAAAGACACAGATTTCTAGCAGCTGTGGATAAGCTTCCCTGGAAACAAACCTGTCCATAAAAACGTTGAGCCCGTTATAAATTACAAAAATATGAACTATAAGGAAAATACATTTCATGGGAAACTGTTCCTTACCCTGAATTCCTTGATAGAGTTCCTCTCCCTCCGCTCCCAGAGCCGCCCTGCTGAGCCGCGGCACTGACCGCTAGCTGATGAGATGCCGTGTTACCAACAGTCATCTGAGAGGAACCCCTGCTTCCTTGCAGTTAGCTCATTTTAATAAGAGAACCAAGAAAAATCAAAGTCGAGAAGTTCTTAACCAACCCCCTTTCCTTGATATAGTAGTTTCCTGTAGACTCAGCCATGGGGCACGGACAGGCACGTCGTGTATTTCCAACTGAAGTGAGAAATCACAAGCTGTGGAGGGACAGATTCTAGGAAAATAATCTGAGTATATGTGTGTGTTTTGGTTTGGGTGTTTGGGTGTGTGTATGTATCTGAATGTGTGTTGGTTCAGTTTGGAGTTTTGCCTGAAAAAAGATTACAATAACAAAGTTAGATTTCACAGCTTGTTAACTGTTGATTCTGAACTGAGAATTTTTCTTGCTGTTTTCTTTGCATGTATATGTTAACAAATGTGTGTAGGTATGTATATGCATATGAGTATATGTACGTAAAGTGGCTGTGTAAATAATACATATACCTTTATGATGTGGAGAAGTAAGTAAAAAAAAAAAATCTAAGCCTGGAGGAAGGTTGCTCTTAAAAATTAAGTTTGGCAACAAAAACTACATGTATTCCTAGAAAAGAATGTTAAAAAAAAAAGAATAGTACATACTAAGCCTTTCTATTGTGTTTCTTTAAAATGACTAGTCAATACGGCATTTAAAATAATTGTTTATGAATTGTAGTGCTGGAAATAGGGAACCCAAGGCCTCATAAAAGCCACATGCTATACTACACAGTGACAACCCCAGCCCCAATTCACGTATTTTAAATCTGGCTTCATTTTACTATTTGTTCCCTCTTTTACAAGAGCCCATTTAAAACTGATTAATGAGCCTCCAGATGTACTTTTCTCCTTTTTGAGAGAGTCTGTGCTGTGAGAATCCACGTGCTTGCCCTAAAGGCCCGGTCAGATACTGGGAGACACACAATCCAATATCGATCTGTGAGAGACATGCAGAAGTCTTTGCTATGGGCCAAGTCTGTGAATAGCCTAGCCTTCACCATCCTGGGAGGAATATGCAGCTGTTATCTGTGTTTTAAGCTTCAGAAAATGAGCCTTAGAGAAGATTCCTGGAACTGCAGAGACACACGGCTGGTATGGCAGGGCAGCTCTTCCAGTCTATGTCCCTCACTTTCCAATTCCAGCCTTTTCGGATCTCCTGCTCTCCAGAACTCTGTGACTACCTGCTCTTCAGAACTCCACGGGCACCTGCTCTCTAGAACTCCGTGGCCATCTGCTTTCCAGAACTCCACGGGCACCTGCTCTCTAGAACTCCGTGGCCACCTGCTCTCTAGAACTCCGTGGCCATCTGCTTTCCAGAACTCTGTGGCTACCTGGCCACTTCTCTGCCTGACCACTGCTTTGTGTTTTGTAAAGGGAGTTTCTTGGGCAAGGTTATTCCAGGACATGGCTTCTGAAAAGCTGAGGGCGTGACTGAAAACCAGGGTAGCAGTCACTGGCCTGTGCTCTCTGGTGTCCCACTAGCTCTAAGACCCGTGCTGGACAGAGTCCCACCCAACTTCAGGCCTGGTGTAAAGTCCCCACACATCCTGCTTTCTTGATTGAAATCTGCAAAGGTAAAACACAGTGTGAGTGGGTCTGTAGTTGGCACTGCCATCTTTTAAAATTAAATCTGGCAAATTCTTAAGAACCTGTTCTATGTGAAGCATGGCAGAGCAGGTGCCCCCACTCATCCTGTGGAGCACGATCCCTATCTTCTTCATAGTCTCACTTTAGAAATCTGATTGCCTCCTCCCCTCCTCTCCCCGGCTCTCACTTTCCTGTTTATAGTGGGAGTAAAAAAGAAAAAAAAACCATCAATGAGGTGTAAAGACCCAACTAGGTAAACAGTTCCTCAGAAGTCAGGGTTTAGTTATAATATGCAAGTTGGAATTTTCTCCAGTTTTAGCCTTGGGACTTCATTTGTGTTGGCTGACCCTTGTACTCAAAATTTATAGTGACTCCCATACAGAAAGAACTGCGAAGGGATTGAGATTGTGGCAACTGCAGTTCGAACTCTGGAACACCAGCATCCCACCTCTTTCAGCCAGAATAACCAGTCATAAACCTTGTCACTTATGACAGTTGGGGACACAGATAAGTAGATTCTGCCAGCTTAGGCGGAGACTCTGGTCGAGTCCTCTGTGCTAACACCAGGCACATGGTAAGCATTCAGTTCCCTGTGGCATGCTGTTGGGAAGGTGGGGCTGGGGAATGGATGCTTGGAGGACCAGGTTCTTGGCAATTCCTCAGTGTCCTGGGAATAGAGCCGTGGGTCACATGCAGCTTTTCCCTTGAGCCCCTCACAGAATGCTGGATTCTCTCCCATGTGGCTTTAGAATTCATATGTTTTCCCCTGCTGGGGCCAGGGTGGCATGTTGCCCTCTGCCTCAACTTAAATTTCACTCTTTCTATGAGACACCAGTGGATTTCAGGACTGGTCCCATTCACGCCTCTTTACCTCTGAGGGAGCTATAGTGAGACTTCCTTGTATGAAGCCCTTTGTAAGTACCCTTGCCTCCCAAATAACCTAGGGTTGCCTCAAAACCAGAGTTAGCTTTAGAAAGTCACAGAATAACTTTTATTAATCCATTCATTCTTTGCTGATTTAAATTTTTCTTGTTAAAATATAAGTTCACTGTCCACTGCAAAAGTATGTGCTGATTTCCCTTTTATCAGCCTGACTCAATGGTGTGTCGGGTAACTCCACATTTACTCACTGGTTGTTCTTTTCTTCTTTTGAGACTTGCTTTCATGTAGCCCAGGCTGACCTCAAAATCACTGTGTAGCCAAGGATGACCCTGAACTTCTGGCCCTCCTGCCTCTACCTCCTGTGTGCTGGAGTCACACGCGTGTAGCACAGAGCCCATTGCGTGCCGTGCCGTGTTAGGCATCCAACCCGGGGCATCTGCCTGCCAGGCAAGTACTCAACCAGCTCAGCTTCATTCCCGGCCTCTACTGCTGTTACTTCAGCGTCGCTTTTCTTTTTCCTTTTCCTTCCTCAAACCCAGGGGAATCATTGTCCACTTCCTAGGGAGTCTCCAACATTCATACATACATGGCTGTTTCGTTTTTGTACCTTGTAGAAAAACTCTAAAAGTATTCTACTTATCTGATTTGTTACTTTTTACTTTTAATTTTTATTATCTTTTGTTTATTTCATGTGTGAGTGGATATGTGTGGATGTACACGTGCCGTAGCCTGCCTGTCGAGGTCAGAGGGCAGTTGAGCGAGTCAGTTCTCTCACGTTACTCTGCAGATTCTAGGGACGGAACTTGGTTCGGCAGACAGGCTCACCAGCCCTCAACATTCTTTGTAAAGCCAAATACACGTTTGCACATTTACAGGATACTTGAATTGTTTCTTATATTGTGGAGCTGATATGGAAGGAGTTAAATATTTGGTTTGAGGGATTTTAATTTTTAGTTTGAAATACACTAAACAGTTTCTAAATATATATGTCTAATTTTTTTTTTTTACTTGTAGCTGGTTTTAGAAGAAGTTTCCGTCTTAGCAGAAAAGATAAGAAAACAAACAAGTCTATGTATGAATGCAAGAAGAGTGACCAGTACGACACGGCGGATGTGCCCACATACGAAGAAGTGACACCATATCGGCGTCAGGCTCATGAGAAGTACAGGCTTGTTGTCCTGGTTGGTAAGTGTGGGTTTTGTGTATGATCCTGAGCAAATAAGGAAAACACTGAGAACTGAAATTGGAAATTTACTGTAGCTGAAATTTTCAAGTTAAAATTCCCTACATCTAGAATACCTTGCTTAGTCTCTAAAGCAAAGTGTTTGGCTGTTTCTATCTTATGGTGATGCTTGGAGACATACCTCAGGAGTGGACCGGTGTGCTTGTGGAGCCTCTGTTGGAGGCAGGTTAGCAAATGCACTGTAGCACAAGATGCGTCAAGAGCACTGGATATTTATGTATTTGTCAATGAATATTTGAATGTTCATTAATGAAAATTTGAATATTTGTCAATGAATAGTTGAATGTTTGTTAATGAAAATTTGAATGTTTGTCAATGATGCTCTTTTCAATTCATTTTGAGGCAGTGGCCATGGTGTCAGCTTCCTCTAGCAGTTAGTCCATCATGAAATAAGTCACAGTAGCAGAGCCCTAGGAGGTTTCAAACCATTTACACGTATGTGTGGGGGGGGTAATGCGACTCAGGAGTAGGGCACCGCCTAGCATTGGCTTCTGTCCCCAATACTGTACAATGTGAGGTTCGGGCGGATCATTTCTACAGTGGTTGGTTTGACTCACATTAACCTTCTAGCTAGTGGCTTGTCCAGCCTTCATGGACATGACCCACCATGATCTTATGGTCCTCCTCCCCACTCCCTTACCTTATTTCTTTAAAATGTGGTGAGAGCTATGTCAGCTTCCAGGATTGAAGCCAATGGTTTTGCAAAACTTTGGGGATAGAGGAGCATAGTGTCTCTTGTTAATTCTTACATTGTAAACTTAGGACAACAGCTTGGAGAATGAGAATAAATGGAAGGGTGAGGAATCAACCACTTTAGCAAGGAGAGATCCTTTGTAAGTTTGTTGCATGTTAATTGAGACTGATGGTGGTTGATTTGGAGGAAGGGCTATGATATTCTCACACCAAATGGCACTGGAGTTGATCACTAACCTGGCAGATATTGAAATTATTTGCATTGTTCAGAAACACATGATTGCAAACGTCAAAGGAAATTCAAATTTTCCTTGCTTAGTGAGGCCTACCTTTTTGTAGCCCAGCCACACCTGAAAGGAGAGTTTCATACATGTTACTGTTTCCCACAAGTGCTCATAACACTCCAGATTCCAGTCCATATAACACCCAGAGGTCGTGGCTGAATCCTTTGGTCCTGAAAGGAGGCTACTCAAGACCTCTTAGCCTCCATCTTCTGGCCCATTGTCCCTGCTGTTTCTTCTCCCTGCTAGTACGCATCCCTCCATTCCCATCACCTCTCCTCCTCAGCCCCAGGAGCCATGCGCTGTGGTGAAGGGGGATGAGCAGTATGGCGGTGTCCTTCCTGGCTTCCTTCCTTCCAGGTACACCGTGGAGTGATCTTGCTGTTGTAAGCTTTGGTCTTTCCTGTGGGGACAAACGGAGGAAGAAGAAACTTTGCTGTTTTTATTCTCCTCTAAGCACTGACCATAAAGCCCTCTCTGCCGGGCTGAGGGACGGTAGATAGTTGAGTATGTCATGAATGTAAGCCACAGAAGAATGAAGAAAGTCAAGGTATGGAGGTCTTGAAGATGGTTGATGGTTGTGGAAAAGAAGTAGCCAACCCCTCGGCTCCTTCAGGATGTACAAGCAGAGGGAGCTTGTACATCCATTACACAGTACTCCATGACAGAGTACATCACCTTGGACTTACCTTAGGAGAGGATGAACCAGCAGAAGGATCTCATGTTAGCCTCTGTCAGCAAAGCCAAATACTTGAGAGAGTTAGCTACTAGAGATAAAAGGTTCATTTGTGTTCACAATCTTCATTACCAAGATAGTACCACAAGTGGAGAACACACTGTCCCCAGGGAACAGATTATAGTCCTAGCAAGGAACCCCAAAACACTATGTACAATGACCTTCTGCTGTATGCTACATCTGAAATACAAATTAATTTCAAGTGGTCATATGGCTTCGGGCCTGTGAGAGAGACAGCAGCACACCATAGCAGAAGTATTTGATGGAGAGAAAGTGCTCATCTCAGCAACAGAGAGCGCAAAAGAGAAGAAAGGGGTCTCTGGGAGCACCCCCAACATTCTGCCTCAGTTTCCCCATCTGAGATTCAGAGATGCTAAGAGCTTTGCTAGTCTAGCAAAGACTGAGACCTGCTCCTGGCAGCTGCTACTGCGGTCTGAGTAAAAAGCCATTCTTGTATATATTATCTGAAATCTTTTTAAAATAAGCATGAAGTGTTCTAGTCTTAGATTCCTGCTGATTTGCAGCCTGGGTGTTTGAATTGATGTTAAGTTAGATTCTGTAGCAGCTGACCATCTGACAGAATCATGTGGGTAATGGATGTATGCTTTGGAAATTGTACCTTGTTGTGAGTTACCTTTTCTTTCATGGTTGCATGCTGAAGACATATTTCCTTGACTTCTTGACATGTGCAGGAGGATGGAATGAGAGAGGGTTGAAGCTTCTTTTACTCTAACCCATGTTGTCAAAGCCACGGAGAGTGACAACCTGAGCCTAGGGAGTGTTAGGTCAGTATCACTGGGGAGAAACGGTATTTTTCTCTCAATAGTGTTAGGGTGTAGTAATCTTAGATCCTCTGTTGAAGACATCAGAATAAAACAAGTCGGTGCCATTCAAAACTACGGCATCTGAGAACTGTGAGATTTGATCAGAAATGCTTGATTTTCTCTTCTTTGTGTAAGCGTGTTATTCCTGGGCCACATTTTAGTCGCTGATACCTCAGTGATGGTTCTGTTAGATTCCTTCCTACGTTTAAAAATATGTCTTAAAAAGTGTTAGACTGAAGGCTGGGGCACTTAGCACATTGTCCTGTCCAATGTATTGTATTTCGTCTTTAGTAAAACTTGATCTCTTTCAAAAGTGAAGTAATAAAGTTAAATGATGTATATGGGCTTGGGGGAGGAGCAGAGCTGTGGCGCTGAAAAGCCACGAAAGCCCTTTTTGTGGCTTAAGCCACAATGAGGGCAGAAATTCATCTTGTGGATATTCAGACAATCTGTGACTTGTTCTGTCTGGTTATTCGGCATCGGGAGGAAACTAACTATAAATCTCTGAATATTTCCCATTTACAACGTGAGCACTAAGTACTATTTGGTCTTCCTTTGGGCTGAATCGTACATGTTGCCCGAAGCCTGCTGTGCGAGGTGCTTTGACTAAATGGGCATTTGTAAGAGTATCGTCGTTTTCCCCCAGAACGATGGCCGTGGCACATAAAGCAGACGAGAAAGCTCACGTTCAGAACCGACTGTGAATGCTAGCATCCCCACTGCTCTTGTGGAACGGTGCTTGAAACCTTGTAGGGTCTGCTCTGGAAGCATCTATAGAGATACTCTAAAACCGAAAGTCACAATCAAATTTATGAGTGTGTGGTGGGTTTAAAATTATAATCCCGTGTAGAGGAGACAAATATGATCTTTATTAGAATCACAGTTAGCTTTTTATGCCTATAGTCTATCTTAAATATTTATACTTGGGATTCGTTTCTGGCATAAGACACAGTTCTTTTCATTGAACTGGTTTTTAGTAAACAGGCGCCGTCTGAGCACCAACTTCTCTAGGTTACAACAGGAGCAATTGTCCTTGAGCTATCTACAGTCCAATGGGAGAAGATGAACTGAAAATCTATTCATAGTAACAAAAGGATGGTGCTGATGGATATGGCCATTTGTGTAGCTACTGGAGGTGGTGAGTGCTCCATAGTGGGTGACATGCGGTGCTGGTTAAGGGAATTTTGAGTTTGGGACTAGAACAGAGTGAATTTTGAATGAGATCCTGTTATCCCCAGTGAAAGGTCACCTTGAGAAGGGTTAGGAAGGAAGAAAGTCACCATTGACCTTTCAGTTGTATTGTGTTCTTGTCTCAGCTGGCGAGGAAGGGGGACACACATCTGCTTTAGATAGATGTTCCTGCAGCAACTGTTCTGTTTTCTCCTTCTCCTCTGTTTTCATGTCATGTTTTGGCATTTGTTTTATGAGTTGTTGCCTCATTGAGAACACTCCTCTCTCATGAAAGTGACAGAGGAAGTGTGCTCTGACTTGATTCGTTGTGAACGTAGCTCAACTTTGTGGAGTTTGATTTGTCATTCTCCAATGCAGAACTGCAGCCACCCACTAACATGACCATCCCATGGACACGGATCAAATCTAATAGCATGGCTGTTTTTATTTTATGCCTACAGCCATAAAAGAGCATTGCTACAATATGATAAGTAGACACTTTATAGCATGTGTCTGATCCGAGAGATACCTAGGGGGTTGGTTGGATTTATCTTGCAGTAAATCAAATGAGTGAGCGTGGTTTTTTTTTTTTTTTTCAAGTAACAATGCAGTTTGGGTCCTATGGCAGACTCCAATAATTCTGGTATTTTTCTCTGGATAATAAAGAGTAACAAGTCTGGCCAAGTACGATAAAAAATGTCTGTAGGGAAATACGGAAGAATTTTTGTGTGAAGCAGAGTACGTACTCTGGGGTTGGATACATAATAGAAGCCACATCCATGCCAGTAACTCTCTGTGTAATCGACCGTTTTTGGCTTGTCCCAAGATGTACAAAGAGCAGGAGAAGACATAAATAGTGCTTGGTCAGAGCAACACATGTCCTTCCAATATTCCACTTAATATTGGATGTAAATCTAAATATTAAAAAGAAGTATGTATAAACAAGAAGGATTTTTATCACAAATGTGTTACTGCAGTGGCTGCATGTGTAGTTTGTCCATCCCTGTTGACTTATCTTTCTCTGTTTACTTTGCTAATAGATTGTTAATATGATAAGTCTTTCATCTGTAAGGCACCACCTATATTTAAATTATTAAATTCAATCTGATACTCATCAGCCTTAAGAAACACTATACACAGGGCCTGGGGGCTGCTTGGTGGATAAAGCACTTGCTAAGCTTGAAAGCTGAAGTTCAGATCCCTAGCACTCACCTAAAAGCTGGGTGGACTTGGTGGTC